CCAAAACAACCCGCTGATCCCGCTGGCGAACCACCAAAACAACCCGCTGATCCCGCTGGCGAACCACCAAAACAACCCGCTGATCCCGCTGGCGAACCACCAAAACAACCTGCTGATCCCGCTGGCGAACCACCAAAACAACCCGTTGACCCAGCTGGTGCACCGCCAAAACAGCCCGCTGTTGATCCTCCAAAACAACCCGCTGATCCTGCCGCTGCTCCACCAAAACAACCCGCTGATCCTGCTGTTGCTCCACCAAAACAACCTGAGGCTCCAGCACCTTAGTAAAATTCACACGTGTATAGAAAAAAATTGTTCATTGATGTATTAATAGTGAATAATAATGTATACTATTTTTATTTATATAATGATCGAATATTTATTAGAACATTTTTTCCTCTTTTATAATTACCGAATTAATTATATATAGTTCAACGAATTATATAACATTTTAAAAGAATATCCTTCCTTCTCTTTTTATTCATTTCTATAATAATAATATTAAAAGTTTTATAAGCGTTTTTCTTTTTTTAATAAATTACGATAAGGGAATTATCTAAAAAAAATATATATTATATTTATATATATATATATATACCGGTATATAAATTTATAAATCAAATAATATGAAAAGAATGCTTAAAGCTTGTAATTTTGAAAGTTTATAAAATTAAAAAAAAAAAATTGTTACATTTTTAAGCCACGATTTTTATGCATCACCGACATTGCGCAGCGTTACTCATAGAATTGCAATAAAAAAACCATTAATTTTTTTTTTGGCCATTTGATGCGATTGATCGTTACAATGATTATGTTTTTTGATTGCCTAATCACATCACTTAGACAACCTTCATGTGAATTGAATTTGACATCCCTCGTGTTCTATGCTGGCCAATCAAATAATTTAATTTCATTGTTTATTCCTTTAGCTTTATGTATCTACAAATTATAAATTCACGAATTAAAATTAAAGCTTCTAATAGGTCAAATTAATAAATTAAAGAGCATCAAATTTTAAAAAAAAATTAAAATCAATCAAATAAAGCAAAAGTTTTTGTACCATCTCAAATATATTAATTAATATTAATTAATATCATCCCGTGATATCAATTGAAATGACAACGCGTTAGACTCAACAAGGGGGCGTCAATTTTTAAGGAACTTCACCTAAAAAAGCAATGGCTTATAACATTTTCACTTTACCACCGTACTTTTTTTTTACCAAGAACTACTCGAGAATACTATCACAATGCAACATTTAGGACTATATAGCGAAGAGCGCCCAAACACTTTTAACAAAGCAATACATTTAATTAAAAAGATAATATGCTTGGAAACAAAACGAAGTGTTTACATATTGAAACGACATTTCTTTGTATTGTTAATATTTTGTTTCATACTTTTTCTAATTTGGCCATTATTTCACATGTATAATGCTTTGATAAAATATAAATTTAGGAATCATCTTTATAATAATGGTCTGTTGCCTTGTTCTTTAAGAAAAGAACCAATTTTATTTATCATTGATACACAAAATGTAATGGTGGTGTGGGAAGCTAACTGCGAATTAAAGAACGTTAGAATACAATGGTACGAAAAATCAATCATCAATGAAACGATTGAGATCAACACATCCGAAATTCTGAAACCTTCAAATATAGATATCTCTCATCACGTATATAAAGGCATAATAGGACCACTTACGTCAGTTGGAAATTACGTTTATGAGATTGTACACGGTCAAAAGAAACAAATCATTTCTTCTCATTCCTTTCAATTCTTTCCTTCCATTCCTGATGGTTCCAAATTAACGTATCCAATTCAAATCGTTGCATTTGCAGATAATCAATTTGGATCATTTGTCTTTGATCGACTTGTTCGATTAGCTTCAAAACAACATTCACCAAATTTTATTATACACGCAGGTGATGTTGTGCAAGAATTTGACAATTTACAACAATGGCAGACGGATTTTTATGATCCTTTGACAAGTTATAATTTAGCTCAACACGCCCCAATAATTTACGCTCACGGTAATCATGACTTTGATCCAAATAAATCAAACATGTACACGACAGGTGCACATTGGTATTCGTTTACGATCGCAAACACTCGCTGGATCGTTTTGGATAGTAATATCGATGATGAAAAACAAGATTTATGGTTATCTCATGAACTTTCTTCCCCAGAAACTCAAAATGCGAGTTTTAAGATTGTGGTAGTACATATTCCACCTTTTATGGAATTTTGGGAACCTGTCGCTTGGCATGAAAAAAAAGAAAAGCATTGGGGTGAATTTGTTCGAACAAGGTTCGTACCATTATTTCGTAAATATGGTGTAGATCTTGTAATTAGTGGTCATCAACATAATTATCAACGAGGTCAATCGGATGGAACCATTTATACCATAATTGGAGGTGCAGGAGGTAAATTAGATTTTGATAGAGTGGAAGATTGGGCTTTTTATAATGTTGTAAGGAAAACGCATCATTATATATTAATGGAAATTTGGTCAGAGACGATAATATGGAAGGCGTATGACCTTAACGGTTATTTGATCGATAAATTCGAATTAAGAAAAAAAATATCATATTTTCGTAATATTAAAATGTAATAATAATAAAAATTATCCACCAATTATAAATTAATTATGTAATGTCGATACGTTTACGTAATCAATAATTCTAAATCAGGGTAGATCCATTTAATCATTCTTTGGCAAGAAAACTTTACAACGAATTTTATTTAATATACAACAATCATGTCTTATCCAACGCTTTACAATAAAATCACAAAAAGTCGTTTCCTTTACAGTCTTTTGAAACCAGTTGCTAACTGGTACACAAATATTGCAGGATATAGACAACTTGGTATGTGTACGATGAACGTTAATTAGGAATTCTTATCACCCATTCAGAATTCATGTTTACTAAATAATTTGGCTTTTAAAAGGATTGAGATATGATGATGTTATAGCTGAAGAAAGTACAACAGTTCAAGAAGCATTAAGGCGTGTTCCTAGAGAGGAATATGACCAACGAACTTTACGACTTCGTAATGCTTTCCAACTTAGTTTAAGAAATGAAATCTTGCCCAGAGATAAATGGATTAAGCCTGTTGAAGTAAGTTTATCGGGATATAATATTTTAAACATCGAGATTATAACCTTTTTTTTTTGTTTTTTTCCAAAAATCATGTCAAGTCGGATATGATCAAAATTAGAATTAATGATTTCTTACACGGCCGTAAATTTGTTTAAATTTATAGGATATCAGATACCTTGAACCATATGTTGAACAGGTAGCTTTTGAAGAAGCTGAACGAGAAGCATTTGATGCAGCTAAAGTTGTACTCAAGAAATAAAAGATCACTCGATTAGCAAATAGTAAAGTAAATGCTAATTTTTGTTATGATGTTTATTATTGACTTATCATTCACTCTTCTAATTTTATTATTTATCTTTTAATTTAATAAGAGAAAGTTAATTCAACTTTTCCAATTAGAATAATGTCCTTTTATTTTATTTTATTTTATTTTTTTTTTTAATTACTTACATGTAAAAAAAAAGGAAAAAAAACAGTTGAATACAAACATTATTTAATTATATTCATTTTTAGTTAAATTTGATAATAAAATTTTGTATGTGCGAATCAGATTATAGGGATGTAGTGTTTAGGAATCATTTTTTTTTTCCTCCCTCTTATATATTTGAGAATATTTGTCAAACAAATAATATGTCTCTCTTAGAATTTCATTAGGAACTGTTAATAAGTAATTTAGCTCCACCATAAATTCCAATCTTGTCTTATATTCTACCTTCTGAAAAATTTCCGCAAGTTCAGCTTTCTCCAATCGATTTTTAGATCAAGATTCGAAGGCATCGCTCCTTCTCATCTTTAATATATCACTAAAAAAAATAACCATATTACATTCTTTAATAATTTCCAATCCGTACGCCTTTATTGCGTTCTGACTTTACCAGTTAAGAAACCATTAGTTATGCGCTAACCAACCAACTTCTCCAAAATCGGCAGATAGTTAAGGCGCCTGAACATTGAAAACTGGGCTGGTTATCAGCAAGTAAAGCGCAGTAATTTTCCTGATCAGAACGCATCCCCCTAGGAGTTATCACCCTTTGCAAAACGAACCTTTGCTTTTAAAACATCGAAAGTGTTCTTATTCAGTTCTAATTTCTTTGCAAAGTTTTCCGAGAAAAAAAAATGTTAACAACTCTTTCTTGGTAACGAAGTAGAAATCCACGGAATTACATATTGCTTCTTTTAAATAATGATATGAGACCATTCTCACCAGAAAGAACTATACAAAAATGTAAGACGCGTTGATAGAATTCGACCTTAACGTTTGATCAACAAATTATAAATCACGTGATTTGATTTTTTCAAGTGTGAAAGGATATTATAAATTGTATAAAAACGTAATAAATGTAGAAAATAAAAGGATTATATTAAAAAAAAAATTAAAATATAAGTTAATTTATAATAAAAAATGTAATATATGGTGATGTGCTATTAAAATTAAGGTACGGATCATATGATTTACTATGCCTCGTACATCAATTTTAATAGCATACCAACAAAAATCTCTATTATTTTGAAATTTTAATATATTATAAACCAGATTTTCATAAATCACTTCTTTGTTATCACAAGATTAGATCACGTATCTTCAACTTCCTTTGAATAACTATCAACCATCACATCCGGATGATAACGCATTAATAATGACTTCAACGATCAAAATGAAATACATGACGTATCGAAAAGAAAGAAGTGGTCAATTTTTAGTAAAATAACCACATTATTTGTTCAGTATACTTTAATAATTATTTTGTTCACGTTTAGATTTATTTAATTCATCATAAACGTTTTCTCCGACGTCTTTAATAGATTTTAGAGCAAATCACTGATCTCTTCTTCCTTTTTTATTTATTTATTTGGTATAATAAGACCTTTCTAGTTTTTTTTCGTTGTCGTATTATAAAAATACATGAGAATTTTGAAGGTTTACCCATTTTTGGAAAAATAAAATGAAAAAAATATATCGATATGTTATTGGCTATTAAAATTATTAAAATCACGTTACATCTGTCCTATAATGTGATTTACTAGATGATCATCCGTATATTTCCATAAATAGTCTATATTATGAAGATCTATTGAATCCCACAATTTCAAAATTTTCACTTTTTAATATAAATAAGGATAGAATTCATTTGTCCATTCCTCAGTTTGCATTCACTTTTGTGGGTGTTTATACTCCCTCTTGTGGAGGGGGGCGATGGTTATAGGCTGACTCTGTCCCCATGTCTTCGGATAGGGGTCGATTTGCACCATGTAGTCTAGTCCTCCTTTATGAGTGTGTAAACTTATAAATTATAGCGGGTGGTGTGATAGAGGGATTTTGGGATTAAACATAATTGTAATTAAAATAATCAATTTTTTATTGGCGCAGAAGCGTGGCTTAAACATTATATTATATTATTATTCGAAACGAAACCGGAGAAAACAAAATCCAATTTTTGACTAGATCAAAAATTCGTAATATATAAATGGGAGACAAAAAAAAAATATAATAATAATAATGAATAAAAAATATAATCGACTTAAGCTACACCATAGAGCAAAGCTTGATTGTTTTTATATTTGTAATTTTGTTATTCAAAGTAGGTGCATTTTCCATTTCTCCATTTTTTATTCAGGTTTCTTATTTTCTGCACCATTATAAAAAGATGGAAGAAATATGTATTTAACAAATATATTGTATCCAGACCGTCCAGGTTTAATGGTGACGGTATGGGACGTATGTAATACGTTGATGAATGCATGATATCATGGTAATGAGGAGATGTGTCATTCAAACAAAAAAAAGATATCTTGGCAGAATGCTGCCGACAAGATTATGATGGTGGAAGAGCGCCAAGAATAGTAAATTTAAGGTTTAAGTAAAAATAAAAAAAAAAGATAGTTTGTACGATTTATGATCGAGACATCTGTTCGCAGTGGAAAAGAGCAATTTCAACGACAACAGTTACGATGGATAAGTATACTAAAACTAAAATGAATAATAATATAATTAATTTCTCCTTCTCATTTTGATCCTTGATCCTTAAGATCAATCCTTACTTTTTGATCAATTTTGAGAATACCCGCATTTTCTACCTCTGCTTCTTGATCAATCTCAAGAATATCTGAAGTAATAATAACAAGAAAGTACTGTTGCAGAGATCATTGGGAAAATTGCTCAGAATTGGTACCTTGACGGAACACCGCATGGATCATATAATTCCCAGAAATGTCGTGTTGCGCATAATGAACAAGGAATAATGTTTCCTTGTTCAAGTGCCAATGACAATGAAAAAAGTTTGTGAGAGAATCCTTCTTCGTGTTGCAAATTTTGTTGCATCATAATTCTTAGCAAAACTTCTAAAAAAGCACAAAGGATTAAACGGTTTGGATTCGTTCAAATCATCGTTAATGAACACATTTCTATGGAATCTATTTTATGGATTGTTCCATTCGCTTATCGCGTGTTTGATCAAATTTCACTCTTTTTTTTTTTATAACTTGTGTATCGATTTGCTGAGACTATATGCACCAGATGCACCTTATAATGCCCATGAACTCGATGTAAGAAAGAAATCTAGTTATCATTGCAAATAAGACGAGAATAACCGTCATTGATATAAAACACATTATTAGTAAATTATAAAATGAATAATAAATTGTAACACTCGAAAGGATATTATATACTATTTTCATATTATTAAAATTACTAAACTCAAAATTTTACGTAAAATTATTTTGAAACCGAATCATATACATAATAATAAATCATTCTCACAATATTTTTAACTTTCTTATTAATCTGTTTTACGTTCAAGAAATACGTGTATGCTGTATGGTCATTTGCTTGAACAACATTCTTTTAAAGGTACATTTATACAGTGCGGAAACATAAGACCAATCAATTAATTAAATCATCAAATTTTAAAATTTGAATAATTATTATTTCGTGAAATGTTCCAATTCTTTTATTCTAATACCTTTTGGGAAATTTATATGTGCAAGATACTAAATTGTAAATATCGCCTATTTTTTTTTTTTTTTTTTTTACCTTTAGATTGAATTGACATAAATTAAGAGAAACTTTTTCTAATTGCGATAACGCATACTGATAAAGGCAAGCATGGTAACTCCACAAATTCTTCTATCACTTTTTAAAAAGATCCAAGAATCAAAACTTCATAATTGTATATGTCATTCCTAGATAATATTTATTTCATAACTTTTTATTAAATGTCGACAAAATAACAATCATTTATTATAAAGGTTACATACTGCGCTCCTGCGGTATTTTAATAAACGTTTTTATTTTTCGGACTAAATTTTTCTTTATAGAAATTGTAAAAAAAAGAATTTTAGTACCTTTTCCTCATGGCCGAAATGCAAAACCGAGAGTCGAAAGATTGAGAATAAATTTTGAGTCGAAATCGATTAGCTGTTAACATAATAAGAATGATATTTTTTATTATAATTATTTTGAGTCGAAATGAAATAGTTGTTTACATTATAAGAATATTAATTTATATTTATTTATTATAATTACCCAATTAATATTTACAAAAATAATCAAAAAAAAAATAAAATAAAAATAGCTGATGCAATTTTACTATTCTATCATAATATACGTAACAACACATAATTAACCATGAATACACTATTAATTAAGTTAGCATCTATGTTCAATAAACTCACTTCTAAGCTTCTTTCATTTTTTTTGGTTTACTTTTAAATATGATTCAGATAAATTATCCTAATAATAAAGAATTTTTATGAAATTCATTAACCTAATTTGAAGACATACATGTATCTAAGTAATCATTCAATACGATGTTTTGAATAAAAGGACAATTCTTCTTTAACCATTTGACGTGTCTCAAATTACCCGATAGAGCTATTAATATTTCAAGGCATTTATGCATCAGTCAACGTTTCATCAGCTATTTTATCTTTTTTTTGGTACAGCCAACGCAATCGCATTAATCGATTGATCTGTTATTTAATTGAAGATTTTGCGAGCAAGGTATTTAAGAATTATATTATTAAGCCTTTGGTCTTTTATGTGAATTAAATTTACTGCGACAGAGATAATTAATTTAACTTTGGCGTAGTCTATTCAGAATGTGATTAATTTGTTTTTCTTTTTTTAGAAAAGGTAATTTTTATGGGCTTCGTGATAAAAATAAAATAAAATAAAATGACGCAGTGATAAGTAATTTTGATGTATGTATTATTTTTTCAATTGATAATGTTCATTTATAACACCTGGATCTGAAAATAGAGATCTCGTATGACAATTTAAAAACCCATTGCTATAACAAACCGAAAAGCATTAAAACATTCAGAACATATTCAGGAGGAGAGAATTTCCTTCAGAAATAATCTTCCGCTCGACAACTTCCTAATTTTCATTGTTCTCGCTTCAGGTTAAATGGCGCAGAAATGGCACAGCACTTGGATCAAGCATTGAACTCTTTATTTATTCATTCAAATTAATATTAAATAAAAGAAAAAGAAAAATTATAGTAAAATATTGAAATGCATGAAATAAATATTTTAACAGCAATAACAAAAACTAAATAGTAATAATAAATATTAAGGTTCCTCTTTTGGGATGATTGTATTTCTATATTGTCTGATGTTTTCGCCTTCAAACTTCCTTACCTTTCCACCTTCACAAACCCAAATTTCCGTACAAACAGAATCTATGAACCTTTCATCGTGGGAAACAAGAATCACACCACCTTTAAATTCTCTAAGAGCGTTCGTCAATGCATCAATTGAATCCATATCAAGATGGTTGGTAGGCTATCGTTTACAAGAAAAATATAATATTAGTATATTCATTTATTAAATTAATTAAAAGGAATTAATATTAATATACCTCATCCAGAATCAATATATGTGGATTTTGTAAACCTAAACACGCGAAGGTAACTCTGCTTTTTTGACCCCCGGACAGTGTTTCTAATGACTGTAATCCGGTCATTCCCGTAATACCAAAATTTCCTAATTGCCTACGATATTCTTCTTCGCTTCTACCAGGAAATTTCTGTGCCATAAAACCTGTAGGGCTTGTATTAAGATCCAATTGATCCACGTGATGCTGCATAAAATGCGCAAATCTAAGACGTCCGTGTCGATGTAATTGACCGACTCGCGGCTCAAGTATGCCCGTTAATAACTTGAGTAGTGTTGATTTACCTGCACCGTTAGGGCCTATAAACGATTTCAAATATGAATATCACTTAATAACTAAATTAAAAAATATATATATATATAAATAAAGCAAAAGCTAACCAACAACTGCAATGCGAGAATCCAATTGAACGGAGAGACTAACATTTGTAATGATGTTATCACCCGTATCATATCTAAAACTAACATCGGTTAATTGAAGAATAGGCGGACTTAATGGATCTGGATTAGGGAACCTAGACAGAACAAATCAAACTTCGTTAATCATTACTGTAAATATTTAGGTTACGTCAAATTTATGGATATTTACCTGAAAGTTACAGTAGCTTCTATTTCTGGTGGGTCCAAAACTGGAAGTTTTTCCAAAACTTTAATTTTACTTTGAGCCTGAGGTGCTCTTTTTGCATTATATCTCCAACGATCAATGAAATCTTGTAAATGTTGCCTAAATTGCATTTGGCTTTCATATTCACGTTGATGATTCTTCCGACGTTCTTCTTTATTAGAATAGAACTGTGTGAAATTACCCTTGTAAAAATCAAGCCGCTCTGAATGCTGATGTAAAATATCTGTCGCGATTTCATCAAGAAATTCTAAAAGTTCAAATAAATGGATGAATAAATATAATTGAAATATTACAAAACATCTTATCATTTGTCTCGTAATTGAATACCTCGATCGTGAGATACAACAAGAAGTGAACTTGGCCATTTTTTTAAGTATTGTTCTAACCACGCAACTGCGGGGATCTTTAAAGGTAATCGCGTAATCAAGTTTAATATATATGTGTAAATAAATTTAACAAAGATTTAAATACGTTAAACAGTTCTTACATCCAACATATTTGTCGGTTCGTCCAGTAATAATAAATCGGGACGACAAAACAAAGCTCTAGCTAATGCAAGACGCATACGCCAACCTCCAGAAAATGTCCTTGTGGCATTTCGATGTTTGTCTGCCGGAAACCCCAACCCAGATAAAATTTCTGCAGCCCTTTTTAAAATAAAATTGATTTAATAAAAAATACCGTTCTCATACATCAAATTAAGGGAAGTTAAAGGTTCAAAACAAATTTACCGAGACTCCGCCTTATCGCTTTCGATATCTTCTAATTTTTGATATACTTCTTTAAGTTTTGAATTTAAAGAATTTTTCTCCTCCTCAATTATATTTACATCAATATCAGGATCAGTTGAAGTTTCAAGCTGACCAATTTGTTCATTTAATGATCTCTCTTCATTTAACAAATGTTCTCTCCAAACATCTGCACTTAATACAGCTTGAATTGCCTCTCTATCATCACCAATCATCTACAATTATAATAAGTTGACCCAAAACCCAAAAATTAATTCAGCGATTCTATACTTGTAATTTAAAAACGTCTTGGATCATTTACCTCTTGTTCAACATGCAAAATACTAATATGAGTTGGTACAGCTATCTCTCTTTTTGACATAGTTCTTAGCAAAGTTGATTTACCAATACCATTTCTTCCAACTAAACCATAACGCCTACCAAATACCAACGTTAAATTGGCATTTGTGAGAATTCTTTTACCACCAAAGGAAATATCAAAGTTCTCAATCTTAACATCCTTAACCTTTCCTTTTGTTGACGTATAATCAAGAATTGGATTTACTTGCATATAAAACTCACTATCTGCACTTTTATTAATCAATTTACTGGCCTCATAATTAGTTCTACGTTCGCGTTTTTCTATTTTAGCTTTGAGCTTTGCTTCAGCTTTTTCTAATTTTTTAGTATCTACTCTAGTATTAACTTTTCTACCACTCACGGCTTCCAGATCTACACTTGAAGACACTAAACGTGCTGTTGCAGAGATGGAATTGTTTGTGAGCATGTTTACTGGCTGTTTCAATTTTGCAAGCACATTATTATTTGGCTGATCATTTTCATTTTTGATAAGAAGGTTTGATAACTTTTCACAAAGTTGTTGAATTCTTTCTTCGTCGCCACATGCATCAAGTAAAATCGGTCGAATAAAATCGCCGATCGCATCCTCTTCGTCTACCACTGAAGGAGCTTCATCTAAATAACCAAGTATATATTCTACGATCGCATCGTCAACGCCGGGAATTGACTGTCGTATAAGTTTAGATACTTTTGTAAGAGCTGTTTCGGCGACCATAACTATAATGAAATTAAATATATTACCAAAAGCAGAACTGAAAATCCAAAACCCACCAAAAAATTTTTAGACGATCCATCTGATTTCTAGAATCATTTAAAATCAGATTTACTATAAATGGGTTTTAATGTGTATCACTTGCTTCCTTATCAGGAAAAGAATTTTTATTTTTTTTTTTCAAACTTTTTTTTTGTAAAAATGTCTGAACGAGTAAATAATTTCATTCTTACCTTTATGTTATAAATTTTTTATTTATTTATTTATTCTATATTAATTTGCCTTTTTAAAGGGTAGAGGCAGAGGAGCAACACGTGGTTCAAGAGGAAGTAGCAGAGGAAGAGGTGGAAGCACTTTTGCGCAGGATACAAAACCTAAAAAAGAATCAATACTTGATCTTTCAAAATATATGGACAAGAAAATACGCGTCAAATTTAATGGAGGGCGCGAAGGTATATTTAGAAATTAATATTTTTAAAATTATCTACTATATTTATGTACCAAATCAATCCAAATAATAGTAATAGGGTCATTGAAAGGATACGATCCATTATTGAATTTAGTTCTTGATGATACTGAGGAATTTCTTAGAGGTAAAGTATTATCTTTTAATATATTTTATTTATGATCATTATTAATTCTAATTATCAACTTTAATTAGATCCTGAGGATAATCGATTATTGAATGAGGCTAGATTGCTTGGATTAATTGTTTGTCGTGGACCAGCTGTAATATTAATATCCCCGTTGGAAGGAACAGAAGAAATCGATAATCCTTTCTTGCAACAAGAATAAATGTTACCAATAACTTTTTCTTATTCATCCTTACAATCCAAATATGATTCATTTGTCATTTCATTTAAGTAAGTAAAGTGAAAGTAGAATATAATAAAAAGATTTCATTCAATCATTATTTTTAGTTTTATTAGAATCCCCTAATCGTTTTTTTTCTTTGGCTTTCATAAGCTCTTTATACTGTTCTTCTGATAACTTTGTAATGGGTGACCATTTTATTGCAGACAACCGATCTAAAAAACCGAGATTTTTCTTTTCATGTTGAATATTAGAGTCCCTAGATGCATCTTGGGACGATGTGTTGGAAGGTTGTAACTGATCTTGATTTGATGATTTAATAATTAATCGTTGTCTGTAATTATATATGGAACTATAACATATTTGCCCTGCACCACATATAACAGAGAATAAAACAAATCCCGACAGAGTTGCTCTCGGTCCACCTTTGTTCATATTTAAATTAATATAATTTTTTAACATTCAATGAATCTTGCGTGAATCACTTTCTTACGTTTTATAGCCGACAGAAATCCACCGGTTAAACCACCGGAAAGCGTACTGCTGATCAAATAATCAATATCTCTTGTCTGAGAATCTAATAATCCATAATCAGGATTTTTGCTCTTTTGAAATGATAAACAAGCATCTCTAATACCTATAAAATCAAGAATAAAAAATTTATAAATTAAAAAAATTTTTTTTAAAAACAAATGCGTTATATTAAGTCTCTTACTGAAAAATGTTAACCCAAAAATTCCGCAATTTATTCCCGTAAAGATTGTATAATTAATTATAGGTCTATTTTTTATATACGCAACTAGACTTCCTGTGGTTGCTCCTATCCCAACTTAAAAATCATAATAATTAATATATCAATTGTTTTTAATAGAATCTTAAAAGATAAAAAAATTATTAAAATACCTGAATAAAAAGTTCCTCGTAAAATTTGATCGCGTGATTTTTTATCCATAATTTTTTTGATAAAAAAAAATTGGTGGCAAAATTTATAGTTTGTGGATGTTACACAAACATGATGCAACAATGCATGACACAACTATATTACGCAAAATTCTAGTGTTTTTTTCTACATTTGAATTTTTTTTTCTAAAACAATTAATTCCCATGAACGTTTATAAAGCAATTATTCTTGTTGGCGGACCTTCTCGTGGTACAAGGTTTCGACCGCTTTCTCTTAATCTTAACGTTCCAAAACCTTTGTTTCCCGTAGCAGGTCACCCAATCATCTGGCACCATTTGGAAGCATTATCTAAAATTGAAGGGTTGAAAGAAGTTTTATTGATCGGTTTTTTTGAAGACTCGATTTTTCATAGGTTTATCGATGATGCGGCAAGAGAATTCCCGAAGATTAATATCCGGTAAGTAATCAATTATAATTACAATTCGTATGAAATTAAAAATAATTTTCATTTTTTTTTTTTTTTTGTTCTTTAGATATCTACGAGAATATCAGTCCTTGGGAACAGCAGGCGGTCTTTATCATTTTAGAGATGAAATTCAACGAGGTGATCCGCAACAAATATTCGTACTTAATGCAGACGTTGCTTGTAGCTTTCCGTTGAAAGGCATGATGAAATTTCATAATACACATCGAGGTTTATGTACGATCTTAGGTACAAAGGTAAAGTTAATATAAAAAAAGAATATTATTACTTTTTCTTTGTTCTTTGTGTATTTTTTAATAAAGTTAAAAAATAATTTTTGACCAGGTTGCTCGTGAAATTGCGAATAAATATGGATGCCTTGTTGCCAAACCTGAAAGTAATGAAGTTTTACATTATGTTGAGAAACCGGAAAGTTTTATTTCTGATTTAATTAGTTGTGGTATCTATTTATTTGACTGTGCCATTTTCAATGAAATGAAAAAGGCCATGCAAAACAAAAAGAATCAAGTCGAGTATCCTTTAATTCTAAAAAGATTCGTTTAGATGAGATTTATTATAGATTCCTTAACCTTTTTTACTTTTACAACATAAGTCAAGATCAATTCATGGATCATGATGAAAAACTTCGATTAGAACAAGATTTACTTCGTCCATTAGCTGAATCCATGAAATTATTTGTATACGTTACAACCGACTTTTGGAGACAAATTAAGACCGCTGGGTAAATATAAAAAAAAATTTAAACCAATTAGATTTATTTAAATACTAATTCAATTGAGCAATATTAGTTCCGCGGTTCCTGCGAACGCTTTATATCTAGAACAATATTTGGAAACAAATCCGGATCGATTATTAAAAAAAGAACCTGATGGTCCAACGATAGTTGGATGTGTTTATAAGCATCCTACAGCATTCATTGATCCAAGTGCAAAGGTTTGTTCCTTAAAATGTAAAGATTATTTATTCATACAGGAAATCAATTTTATAAATATTATTTTGGGGGTTAGATTGGACCAAATGTTTCGATAGGTCCTCGTGCAGTTATTGGTAAAGGAGTTCGTATCAAGGATTCAATTATTCTTGATAATGTGGAGATTAAAGCGAACAGTTGTATTATAAATAGTATAATTGGGTGGGACTCAAAAATTGGAACTTGGGCCCGTGTTGAAGGAACATCAGTAACAAATGATCAGATTGTCATCACACAAAATGGTGTAAAGGTTCCATCAATCACCATTCTTGGTAAGTTATCATTTTTTTTTAAAAAAAAAAAGATTTAAGCAACAATAAGTTATGCTAATCTTATTCTAAATAGCCAAAGAAGTCATTGTCAGGGATGAAATAATTATTCGTAATTGTATTGTGCTACCTCACAAGGAATTGAAAACTAGTTGTCATAATGAAATTTTGATGTAAAGCCATCTTATTCAATGAAAAAAAACGGACTCCTTTTTTTAAAAATATTTAAGGTACAATTCATTACTATTGTTATATTATTATATTTTATTTAAATTCATTTATATATAACACTTCTTTCATTGCTTTTCTTTTCCTTTCTTTTCTTTTGTTACATAATACAAATTAGATTCTAATGATGAAACCTTTTAAAAGAAATACAATGTAAAATATTTTCGTATTTATTATTATTCTATGGCCAAAATTTGACTACTTGATTGTTCAAGTAATTCATCAACATTAACTGATTCCGCATCATCTAAATAGAAAACATTTTGTAACATTATAGTTAGTTTACAAATATTTTTGGTTTTATTATTTCTTTTGAGTAACTATTTGTATTACCATGTAATTCGGCTTGCCTTTTTAGCGACAATATCTGATCTCTATCATAATCAATAGCAGATAATTGACACTGTCGAATCGTTGCTAATTTAATAGAAAAAATATATCTATATATATAAATATACATATTGATAAATTCTCTTTGAAATTAGTTTTAAAACCATACCTCCTAGATATAAAACGCGTAAAAGACAATTTTTCGTCTTTATTTGTGAAATAAAAGTCATTGCACCCCAAGCAATATGATAATGATCTCTTGAAACTCTAAGTACACCAATGTTCGTAAATGGAGAAAAATATTTTACTAGAATATTAAAATTTTTTTTTGAAACGAATAAAAAAAATGTGTATTACTGGAAAGCAAAAAATAAAAGAATTTGAACTTAAATTGCGCTTAAATGTTTTTGTGCAAACCGCCTACCATTTAAAGAAGCTGCAACACACCCGACACCGTAATCACCAAAATTCGTTTTTATAGAATCTTTTATTGCGGAATAAACATCCTTGGAAGATAAAGTTTCAACATTTTTTGTGGAGGTGGAACGTCGTTGAAGCGTATCTTCAAATATAATTTCGAAAAGAAGCCATCGATTCTTTAAACGGACCATTATCAATGTGAGAAAAATGGAATAAGCAATTTTGGTAATCAACAATTAGATTACGTGCCGGGAATTATTGTTTCGATAAGAAACCATGGACTTTGAAAGAAATTCATAAATTTGACCTTTTTGAACATATCATAGCTTATAGTCGAAAGCTATATAAATCACGTGATAAAATTTCATATGAAAATATTAAAAGTTAATAATAATATTTAATATTTATAAAATAGAAACCTTTAAAGTAACTTTAAAACTTTAAACTATATAGAATTTATTGTAATTTGATTGATTATTGATCAAATAAACAAAAAAAAAAATACACTTAATCATTTAAATAATAGCGAGATTTATTTAGTTTTAAATATTTAATATTTACTAGAGATATCAATGTTTAATAATTTCTTTAATTGTTTATTCACTTTTTTATAATATCTTTTTACAATCAAGTTTCTTAGTTAAAACTTAAAAACTTATATAGAATTTCTTAAATAATACTTCTATAAAATAAACTTCAAATATAGTATAATAAACTCAAAAATTAATGAAATAAATAATGAAATAATATACTTCTTAAATAGTTTTATCTTTAAATTTAGAAGCAAATTTACTTTTAATTAAAATTATTTAAATTATTTTAAAATCATTTTATTAAAATATTAATATTTATATAATTTTTATAATAAATTTTATGATATTTTCTAAGCAAATCAAAAAAAAAAGGTTAATAGTTAACAATTTTTTGAGAATAAATAAGTAATAAATTATTATAAAAATGATCTAATTATTAAAATCACAATATATAGCTACTTATTTATCTTTAAAATATTAAATTACCTTTATTTAATACTTTTTGAAATAAATTTAATAAATTAAATTATATTTTTCTGCAATTTATTAAATAATAAATTCTTTTTTTTTAAAGGTTTAAAAATATATTTTAAACTAATATAATTTATAATTTATCAATATTAAAATATAAATATAATACTATTAAATGTGTTTTTATAAAACAAATAATAGTAAGAAAAAGGCTTTTTAATATAAAATGAGATAAGTGCTGGAAAAATGGACCAAATTGATTTTTTTAAAAAAAAGTTTTTAAGTAAAATAGATGTAGATTTGGTCATCTGATTCAGATCATTTGTTATTTCAAAAAAAAATTTTTTGTCGATTTGGTCCCTTTTCCCAACACTTACCCCAAATGCTTTAAAATCTATTTAGTTACACTAGTCGAACAATGACAAATAGGAAACCAATCGGATCAAATCTGGGTTGTCAGATTTGACCTGATTGGTCCCCTATTTTTTTGTTTTTTTAGAATCAGGTGATCCCGATTGATGACGATTAATGACGCAGATAGGATACAATAAGGAGTGTTATAAAAATATCAATAGGGTTATTCTTATTGATATCAATTTATTAACATCCAGTTTCCAATCAGGTTATCCCTAAATCATCAATAGGGATATTCTTATTGAGGTTTTTTTTATTATTATACAAATAGCGTATCTCACCAATTGGTAACATTTTATCAAATTTATTTAATAATCATAATAATATTTTATACTAGTAAGTAATCCTGATTAATTATAATAAAAAGAATTTTTATTGATATGAAATATTCCAATTGATACAATTTATATAAATTTAAACATATTTGAAATTTTACCGATTTATTCAGTATTTATTATAAAATCTATCGATTTTTATCTATCTGTATTACTACTACTACTACTAGTATACTCAGAAAATACCACACTTTTACTCCTTCTAATTCTCTCCTCCTTGTTACTTTCACCTTCATTATCATCATTATTTTTATCAGATTCCTCTTTATGATTGGATTCATCTTCATAATTAGATTTCCCTCCATGATCGGAATCCTCCTGAAATAGTTCCTTCTAAGTGATTTTCTCCTGAATGGGTTTCTAATATTTAAAATACTTGAAACCATCAGATTTCTGATTATCGCTTTCAGAACGATGTGGAATATGATTTCCACTAACGACCTTAATGATCTGATGTATTCAGATCTTGTCCATTTGGGAGCATTTACCAGTGCTTCATTTTCACCAGCTGCAAATTGGATATCATCATATACCCTTTTTCTAGTTCTGCGTACTTTTGATAATTTAGAGTCTTCATTATCTACATAATCTCGCAAAAACAACCGCAACTATTAGAAATAAAAAGGATAAATTAATACAACCCGATTGATAAAAATAAAAATAAAAATTACTTACCGTGGATGATCGCCATTTGGATTTCTGAATGACAATTTTTCTTTTATTAGGATTTTTATCATCAGTTTCTGAAACCTCTAGGCTATGATATTGATTATCAGTTCGAACTGGTTGGAGTTCATCATTATAAATTTTTCCAACTAGACAGTCCTTTAATCTAATACATCTATCAATAGTTTTTGCTCGTCGTTCTCATTTCTAATATTTTTTTAAAAAAAAAATTAAAAAAAAGTTATTTTAACAACTAATCTGACTGTTTACTTACTTCATGATGACATGTGTTAGCGTGCTTCCTCCTCCTTTGAAAGTCATTTCATTTATCTCCTTTATTTCTCTTAAGTACTTCTTCTCTTTGGTATTGATGCCATTCGTGAATGATGCACTTTATTATGGAGTCCGATACCAGAAATGCTTTTTTATTGATTGATTTTTGTATAATCGGTATCATATGGTTATTAACCAACTTTCGTTGGCTTTTAAAGTAATAAAAATGTAAATCAGATAAATAATTTAGACAAAATTATTCAAATAAAATAAAATATGAGTACCCTTAATGCATTTCATAATTCCCAATCCATACTTTTATAATAAATATATAAGGTTTGTGAAGAATCAGATTAGAAAGAAGGAGACGAGAATTGATCTGGACCGTTTTGGTCAAAATGACTACTGATTGATAGTGATTTCTCATGCATTATTGCTTAAAAATATAAAGAAATGTAAGAAAAATAGTAATCATCTATTAACCGATTGTTTGCTTATTTGCCTTCT